GTCACTCAGTCTCTGAGGACGTCCTGCTCTAGTCAGATCTACTCATGGTCCATAGTCCTTCCATGTCTTAAGGATGGATCTAACTGGACTCCAGAGATGTTCAGGAACTTGTAAATGTTCTTGTATCATCTCCTGACTGATGCTCCTCAACAACCTTTTCCAGGATTCTTGGAGGGTTCTTCGGTCTTCATGGTAGTTCTAGCCAGGAGTACTGATTAATTAGTCAAACAGTAAAACTTTGATGAGGATGAGTGCTCTCTGTAGGCTCTAACATGTTAGTTTGTTCTGTAAACAGTTTAACTCGTTTTTGACTCGTCTCTCTGGTCTGAGGATCCATAAAGTTTTCTGTCAACAGGAATAATTACATCAAACAAAACAGTGAAACGCATCCACTGTAGACCAATGAGGATGCAGCACAAAGATGTCATTACGGACAAAAGGCTTGTGTTGATCGTTTTTTCTAAAAATAATTCACGACTTATAATCTTTCAGTGTCAGAGTCTGTTTTATTCGACAAAACAAAGGATCTGATCAAATATCAGTGGAACTTTCATACATGAATGTTCTGAATGAAGGAAGCAAACTGGAGTCTGTCAGACAGCTTCTACCAGCAGCAGAGCAGCACCTGAAGGCAACACGCCAGCCGACCGCCATCGAGCGCTTCATTGATCAGTGAACAGACGTCTGCTGGATGGAAACTCCGGCAGCCGGAAACATTAGCAGCTTAATGTGTTGTTGTTTATGATGTTAGCTTAGCATTAGTGTATCCCCGGAGACCATCAGGATAATGGAGTCGGCTGATGTTGCTGATGATGTTGTTGCTCTTAGCTTAGCATTAGTGCGTCCTTGCAGACCATCAGGATAATGGAGTCGGCGTCGACGTCAGTGCTAACAGAGCCAACAACACAGTAGAAGTCTGCGACATGGAAACATTATTTTATTGCTCTGAACCAGAAAACTTTCTGGCAGGTTTAAAACTTCTGTGATCTTTCTAGAACTGCCAACATTTACACTAATTATCAGCCAGAAACTGTAACAAAAAACCTCCAAAAAATAGAATCGACAAGTTCAGCTTTCTGATGGTCCTCCAACGCATCATGACGTGACCTGTGGTTCCATCAGAAAAATGACCCAAACAGAAACTTTTGGCAGCCAGTCAGGAGACGGGTCTGGTGTCAGGTCCCGTGTCGGGTCAGGAGGCGGGTTAGGAGATGGTCCGGTGTCGGGTAAGGCATTGGGTCAGGAGATGGGTCAGGAGACGGGTCCGGTGTCGGGTCAGGAGACGGGTCCGGTGTCGGGTCAGGACCTGAGCGACCTCTGCTTGTGCTGCAGGTGACTGCTGGCTGCTTGCTGCCATCGGCTCTCTGACTCTGAACGAACACCTGCTGCATCGTGTGGTTCCTCACGGTCAGAGCTTCACACACCAGTACGCCGGTATCTTCCACTTCCAGGTGAGACTGCACTGTCCAGAGGCCACACCCACTCACCTGTGTAACCATGTGTTTAGGTGGAGTTGAGGTGTTTGTCTGAGAGCCAATCAGAGCTGCTCTGACAGAGATGTTCCAACACTGAGCTTTATTCTAACAGCTTTTTTACAGTGTTCCTGTTTTGTTACATTACAGATAAAATCTAAGAAAACCACTGAAAAAAGTAATAATTTACATGTTACCAGCAAAAAACAGGCCAAACTGTAAATAACGTCCCCTTAAACATCAGCACTTTTATAAATATTTGTTCTTTTACGATGTTTGATGGTAAGGCGGCGCTGTGTTGCCGTTAGACATCCACTAGACCACTATCACTGTATCGGTATCTGTTGGTGTTTTCACTGTCGTCACAGGTTTCTGAAGCGTTCTTTGGCCTCTTTGCTGCCAGAGTTTCACTGCAGTGTGTTTTTATTGCTGAACTTTGTAGTTCTGGCAGTTCGGTGAGTGGGTGGACGTGGTGATCGACGACCGGCTGCCCGTCAAAGATGGAGAGCTGATGTTCGTCCACTCGGCCGAGGGCAGCGAGTTCTGGAGCGCCCTGCTGGAGAAGGCCTACGCCAAGTAAGACCCCACACCAGGACGGTTCTCTATATTGTTGCCCGGACCAGGTGAGCGATGGAGCAATCAGTCCGTCTGTGTGTCTGTGAACAGTCTGTAGCTCCAGCTGAGGTCTGACCAGGTGGTGTCTCCAGGTGAGCTAGGAACGGCCTCTCCTCTGGTTGATCAGGTTTTGGGGTCAGTCAGTGTAAAAATAGCTCCGCTGGAGGTCAAAGGTCCCTTCTTCTAAAATGCTGTGGACCAGGGGTCTCCAACCTTTTTTCGGATGACAGCTACTTTCAAACAACAAAAGAGCTGCTTCCGGTCCCCTTGTTGTTTTGGATGCCGGGTACATATGCTGACCGTAAATGAGACGTTGTAATCTGGTGTGTATCCTGAGAGGTTCACTCTGATGCAGGCATCCAGGTGGGCATCAGTGAAACGAGTTTAGAACTTCGACTCGATGAAGTTCAAGTCAGAAAAGGCAGATTCACAACGATATGTTGAGCCCAACAGGGCAGCACATTTCATGGCTCCTGTGCAGATGTTGGGGAACTTCTTTGCATCCACAAGCTTCCAGAACTCATCAGTAGACTGAAAGTTTCCATCTCCATCTCAACAGTACTGAGAGCGAACACCTCACCCACCTGTTCAGAAATCTCAGACATGTCCACATCCATTGTAAACAACGATCGCCGTCGTTGCAATCCCGCCTTCGACGCGCTCACCTCAGCTGACCGCAGGCTGCTGCCAGATGGAAAACCAAACTCCTCATGAAGCGGGTGAAGTGCTGCTCCGCCTGACTTCTCTTCCCGACTGCAGCGCTGGTCCCACAGATCAAGAACACACACACCTGTCTTGTACACTTGTGAAGAGCCAGTCCGTCTCCCAGTCCTGATGGAGGTGCTAGGCCTTCTGTTTCTACTCATGGTTTTATCTCCAAGCGGTGCACTAGCTTTGGTAACAGTAAAATAAAATCCAGATAATTCCTTTGACATTCGGTTTGAAAACAATAACTGCCGGCTACTGAGTCCACACACCGGCTCCAGCTCATTGGAGGAAGCGGAGTCGTAAGTACCAACGTGATTGGTCGGTGGGGGGGGGGTGTTGGACAGTCATACAGCTGTAGTCAGTAGATGGAGTTCGATTCTTTGTATTTTCTTTCTTTTTCTTTTACTTTTTTTTACGTTTTCAATGTGCTTGGCGAGCTACTGACTGAGGGCTGCCTGTTGGAGACCCCTGCTGTGGACCTTCAGGTGGGTAGAAGGTAGATTCCTGGTGTTTGGTGCAGACCAGCAGCCATGTTGGGCTTCCTGCTGGTGACCTGACATTTGACCTTGGATGATATTTCAGAGTCCACAAATGTTGATGTTGCCTTCATATTTTAAACATGTAATGTGTGCATGGATAGAACCTTGGACCACCAGCCAACCGTGACAGAAACACCTGTTCTGTGGTTGGTTGGAAGGTTTCCTGGCTCAGAGCCGTGGTGGCCGGCAGGGCGACGACGTCCTCTACGGAGGGAACTCTGGTTTACTGTTTCTTGTTCTGCTGTTCTCAGGTTGAACGGGTCGTATGAAGCTCTGTCTGGCGGCAGCACCACTGAGGCGTTTGAGGATTTTACTGGCGGCGTGTCAGAGATGTATGAGCTGAAGAAAGCTCCCAGAGATCTTCATCGGATCATCAGTAAAGCTCTGCAGAGAGGCTCGCTGCTCGGCTGCTCCATCGATGTCAGTCAGCAAACGCTCAGTGTTTCCATTAATGTGTCCACAGCGTCTCTGTGGTTCAGAATCACTTCACCTCCACCTGCTGCCTGCAGCTTTCTGCAGGAATCGTTTTGTATTTACTCTGGTTGAACATCGCTGATCTGTAAATGTTGTGCAGCAAATGTTAAAACAACCCTTCTGTGTAAGAAACGTTTCATTCTGCTCACTCATGTTGAGACGAACATCAGGTGTGTTTGCTGTCCTCAGATCAGCAGCGCCTTCGACATGGAGGCCGTGACCTTCAAGAAGCTGGTGAAAGGCCACGCCTACTCGGTGACCGCCCTTACACAGGTAACGGAACCAGCCAGGCGACCTGTGCCGGCCGGTTTAAAGTCACGCTGTCATATATAGTTTATGTTTATATTATTAAGGACTCGTCAGCCAGAAACAGAAAGAATCTGTTTGTCAGGATGAAGTTCGGGTTTGCGTCTGTAATGGTTTCATGCTTCAGCGCTCAGATTCCCTCCTTTTCTTTGTCCTCCTGCAGGTGGAGTACCGCGGAAAGCAGGAGCGTCTCATCCGGATCCGGAACCCCTGGGGGCAGGTGGAGTGGACCGGCGCCTGGAGCGACAAGTCAGTGCTGCTTCACAACCAGCCGCTTAACAGACGTGACCGAGTGCTCAACTGAACGTTGTTGTTTCAGCTCGTCCGAGTGGAACGCCGTCGACTCCGCGGAGAAAGATGAGATGCTGTGTAAGATGGAGGACGGAGAGTTCTGGTAGGTCGGTTCTGAAGGGATGAACCTGAGTGTTGGAGGATGAAGGCGGTAAGTTGAGTCTGTGTTTCAGGATGTCATTCCAGGAGTTCCTGCGTCAGTTCTCACGGTTGGAGATCTGTAATCTGACTCCGGACGCTCTGAGTCTGGACCACACCAGCTTCTGGACCACCACCATGTTCGAGGGCAGCTGGAGGAGGGGCAGCACCGCCGGGGGCTGCAGGAACCACCCCAGTGAGGACGGAGGGGCAGGAGGGCACATGATTTTTATGCTCACTACAACATCCCTGTGATCCATTCAGCAGCTCTGTGGATTCGTTCTGAAGCTGTAGTTTATCTCGGCCAGAACCTAATGAGCTAATGTTAGCATGCTAACCGGCTGTAGGCCCGAATGTCTCTGTGAGCTCTTTAGTGTGTTGTCATGACTACATGTCCTATGATGCCTCTGGCTGCCTCCTGCAGACACCTTCTGGATCAACCCTCAGTATAAGATCTCCCTGCTGGAGGAGGACGACGACCCCGAGGACGAGGAGGCAGCCTGCAGCTTCCTGGTGGCTCTGATGCAGAAGGATCGCCGCCGCTACCGACGCCACGGCCAGGACATGCACACCATCGGCTTCGCCATCTACGAGGTCATGAAGCTGCTTCTTTCTCAGCGTTTCTGCTTCCACCACAAACATCGCATCCCATCAGCTACACGCAACAGCCAAACACCGTCTCCATAGCAGCCACATCCAAATACACACCAACCTGATGACACGTCAATGGAAACCCGAGCATCACCTCTAGTTACCACAGTAACCACATGGCTCAGCTGAGCTCCGCCCACAGCTTCCCAACACTCACTGACTGCTGAGGAACATCTGAAGAACCCGTAGAAGACTGAACTTGTTGTTCTCCGTCAGGTGTTGTGACGTGTGTTCTCGGTGTTCCTTCTCATCCACAGATTCCTGCTGAGGTGAGTCTGTCTGAATCAAACCAGACTTTATTTCTCGTGGTTCTGTGGTGACGCTGGCGTCCGTCCGTCCGTCCGACAGTTCCGCGGTTGTCCTAGCGCCCACATGAAGAAGGACTTCTTCCTGCGGCACTCGTCCTGCGCTCGATCCGAGTCCTTCATCAACCTGCGAGAGGTGAGCGCCAGGCTCCGCCTCCCGCCCGGCGAGTACCTGGTCGTCCCGTCGACCTTTGAGCCATCCAAGGAGGCCGACTTCGTCCTGAGGGTTTTCACCGAGAAACAGTCGGAGACCCAGTGAGTCTGTCAGAACATGTTCTACAGTCACATAGAGATCAGTGAGGGTGGGTCGGTGACAGTGTGGTTCTGTGCAGGGAGATGGACGACAGCGTGGTGGCGAACCTGGACGAAGACGTAAGAACTTTCACCTTCACATCTACTGCTGTCGTGTTTATTGACAGTCTGAACGTTTTCTGCTTTTACATTCCACTGATGTGGCTCCAGGCTGCAGGAGGGTCGGTGGTTAGCACCGTTAGCACCGTTAGCACCGTTAGCGCCTCACAGCTAGAAGGTCGCCGGTTGGCGTCCCGGTGAGGACACCCGGGATCTTCCTGCGTGGAGTCTCCATGTTCTCCCCGTGCAGCGTGGGTTCTCTCCGGGTTCTCCGGCTTCCTCCCACAGTCCAGAAACATGCTGAGGTTAATTGGTGATTGTAAATTGTCCGTAGGTGTGAATGTGAGTGTGCTTGGTTGTCTGTCTCTAAGTGTAGCCCTGTGATAGACTGGTTACCTGTCCAGGTGAACCTGCCTTCACCCTGAGTCAGCTGGGATAGGCTCCGCCCCCTAGTGAGGGTTAAGGTGTAGAGATGATGGATGATGTGGTTCCGCTTGCTCCGCTGTGATTTATTCTGTGGAAGCAGAACAAAGCGAACCAGAGAAAAGAAACGATTGTTTATTTTACAAAAAGGTGAAAACCTGGAATCAACACGTCCAGCGTGTCCGTCCAGGTGTGAATGATGACGTATTCACAGACTGGACACTCTGGTGCTGTGACTCCTGAATCTCCTTTAGAACCTGCTTTAGAACCTGCAACGGGTTTTGTGGTTCAGAAATGTCTAACTGTTGTAGACAATGTTCTGTGTCTGTTTGTCCATCGAACAATAAAGTCACAACAACCAGAACCGAACCAATGAACCCGTTTTTAACCTGAAAGTGTTTCTTATGTCGGTGCTGCTTCTTCTCTGCAGGAGGAGCTCTCAGAAAGCGACATCGACGACTCCTTCAGGTCCATGTTCGCTCAGCTGTCCGGAGACGTGAGTCCAGAACACAGAACCTCCACAGAACCGGGACAGTGAGCTGTGTGTCTGCCATGCTGTGCTGAGTGTGTTTCTCTCCTCAGGACATGGAGATCTCAGTGCGAGAGCTCAGAACCATCCTCAACAGAGTCGTGTCAAAACGTGAGTGTTTCTAATTCAGATCCAAAGATCCTGCAGAACCGACAGGTTCTGGTTCCACTGCTGCTGACTGCAAACAGGGAAGAGCTACAGTTTCATTCTGCAGATTTGATTCCTGCAGAGAAAGAGACTGGATCAGTGATCTTCTTCTTCTTCTGTGGTGTTTGCAGACAGAGACCTGCAGACGGACGGCTTCAGTATGGAGTCCTGCAGAACCATGGTCAGCCTCATGGACGTATCCTGACTGGGTCCAGGTTCTGCTGCTTGTTACCATAACCAAACTGTCAGCTCTCATCACGGATCTGAGTTCAGGTTCTGGGAGTTTTAACTTTATGTAAAGCGTTTGTTGACCTGCAGAGCATCCAGGGTTCTAGTGTCTCAGTTAGAAGATCGACCGAGTCATTGATGTTCAGAGTGTCCAGGTAGATGAACTCACCTGGTTTCAGGTAAATGTGACAGAAAACAGCACAAAGCTCTGAATGGATCCGAAGATAGAAACCAGAGTGAAACCGGAGGAGGAGGTTCAGACTTCAGCTGGTTTTTATCTTGTGGTCGGTTCTTTCAGTCATCAGGTGGAAGCTGCTGAGTTTGTTGACTTTGACTGCAGCTCAGAAAGACGGCAGCGCTCGACTCGGCCTGCTGGAGTTTCAGATCCTCTGGAACAAGATCAGGAAGTGGCTGGTAGGTGTGACCACGCTGAGCCTTCACACCACACGCAGCAGAGAGCAGGGTGAGCTTCAGCTGTGTGGCCACTGTTGTCTTTCAGGGCATCTTCAGAGAGTTTGATCTGGATAAATCCGGCTGCATGAACTCCTACGAGATGCGCCTGGCGTTGGAAAATGGCGGTAAGTTGTGTTTCTGGACGCCACAGCGTTTCTGAGCGCGCTCTGTTTGACTCGAGCTCTGTTGCGTCCGCAGGCTTCAAGCTGAACAACAAACTGTACCAGATGCTGGTCGCTCGATACGCCGACAACGAGATCATCGACTTCGACAACTTCACCTGCTGCCTGGTCAAGCTGGAGGCCATGTTCAGTACGTGCAGCACATCTGAGCCGCCGCCGCCGCTGTTGGTCGAGTTGTGTTGACCTGTTGTGTGTTTGTGTGTCCGTCAGAGGCCTTCCAGCAGCTCGACAGCGACGCAACGGGATCCGTGGAGATGAACATCGGAGAGGTAAAAACACAACAACTGCTCACGAAGCTCAGAGGCTGTAAACATCCCATCAGCTGGAGCTCAGCGTCTGTACGATCACAGACAACAGCCGTCTCATCAAAGCTTTGTTTAGTTCAAATGCATTTTGTAGCTTTAATCTGAGATCAGCCGTACGTTCTGTCTTTTATTTTGGTAACGGCCACAGAATGGAGTGAACTGTCTCATAGAGGCTGTAGATACACAGACAGTTAAACATCTGTAGTCTATGGAGACAGCAGTTACCAGGTCCAGTAGTTCCCTCTCATTAAAATACACCTTGTGGTCCTCATTTACACGAGAGCAGGCGCTATTTGTCTTTTATTTTGAAAGGGAGAGACAAGCTATATTTGACAGATTCCTGTAAACCGGTTTCTGTACCAACGTGAGCTTTAAACATTTAGTTCACTGAACCAAATATTTGTGTGTATGCAGATGATATGAATTCAGATTAAGAATAATTACGTCACACACTAAAAATCAGTTTAATATCCTGGCAAAGAAAATTAATGGATAGTCAATGTGCAGCAACCAGGAAGTGACCTCTAACATCCAGGGGATAGACGATCTGACGATAAACTGTCTGATTCAGGTACAGCCATGAAGCGTCTGTAAATATACAAGAAGTCTGTCATTCGGGGAACAAATCTGCGTAAATGACAGAACTAAAAGTTCCTTTACTGGTAATTATGTCTACTTTTAAAAACACATTGACAGAATTAAACTTTAAGTTTCATCTCTGAAATTAAAAAAGTGAATGTTTGTGAAATGACGACCCGCTCCGTGGTCCACAGCTCAGCGTCTCCGTTGTGTCTCCTCAGTGGCTCTGTGTGACCATGTGTGGCTGAAGCAGCGCCGCCTCCACACCTGATGACCCACCTGCCTGCTGCACCTGCTGCTACTACTGTACTACTACTGCTACTACTATTACTACTACTGTACTACTACTACTACTGTACTACTACTGTACTACTATTACTACTACTGTACTACTACTACTGCTACTACTATTACTACTACTGTACTACTACTGTACTACTATTACTACTACTGTACTACTACTACTGCTACTACTACTACTACTGTACTACTACTACTACTGTACTACTACTGCTATTACTACTACTACTGTAGTAATACTACTACTACTACTATTACTGTACTACTACTATTACTGCAGTACTACTACTACTTTTCAATTCAATTCCATTTTATCTGTATAGCGCATATTTACAACAAGTCATCTCATAGCGCTTCACAAAGACAGAAACACCCAACAATCCAAACATCTGGATTCTCTATAAGCTTCAGCAGTCTGCTGGTGGGACGGAACCGAAAACCCACACAGGGGAAAAAAAACCTCCGACAGAACCAGGCTCAGGGAGGGACGGCCATCTGCCTCCACCGGTTGGGTGGATGTAGGATGAATTCTAACATTTAGTTTACAGTTAAACAAGTTATTAGAAGTGATTGTCCTTTTGTAACAGGAGGCATCATGGTGGGGCAGCAGGATGCAGAAGGTGAGGCCAGCGGCTGTAGTTCAGGAGCTCCAGATCCAGAGACATCCACAGAGAGAGCAGGCGCAGGAGAACCTCGGGGGGAGTCACAGAGTTAGTCATATGTAATGGTGATAGGCAACTATAGAAACATATACATACACATATATATAAAGAGGAGAGGAGAGGAGAGAAGCCCAGTGCATCATGGGAATCCCCCGGCAGTCTAAACCTATAGCAGCATCACTACTATTACTACTACTACTGCAGTACTACTTACTACTACTGTACTACTACTACTATTGCAGTACTTCAGTCTTCCAGCGTCTCTGATGCCAGAACAACACACACTCACACACTCACATATATATATATATATATATATGTGTGTGTGTGTGTGTGAGTGTCTTTATAACCTCCATGTTTCAGCTGCGTGTACTGAGACTCGGTACCTTCTCACATATACTACTGCATGTTCCAGAAGTACTGCGGCGCTGTACCAGTACTCACACGTACCCGACTCAGGACTGACCAGCGCTCACTCTCAGCGCCACCCACACGTCTGTGGATCTGAACCGAGCGCTGTCAGCTGTGTTTGTTTATCACTGATTTCATTCATTCTGTTGGAACATGTGACTCATTAAACTCTGTACGGTCCTGATCTGCTCAGAACTGACACACGGTTTGGGTTCTGGTGGAAACATCTTTTATTTCATTGTCGGTTCTTTAAACAGAAAACATTCAGATCAGCATCAGTCTTTACTGGATGAAGGTTCTTAGGTCCATCTTCAGAGCAGAACCTCCGCCGGCTGCTGAGACCCGCTGGTTCCAGGGACTGGAGGTGGTTCTGTGAGCTGCTGCTGGTTTGCCTTCAGCTCCATCGACCCAGCAGCTGGTCACGGCGCTGATGGACCGGTCGCTGCAGCTCCTGGAGACGTGTTGAGCACTGAGAGGAGTTTCGTTGGTTTGCTTCTGGCAGCACAGTAATCTATTACTCTATTACCGACAGTATCCGAGTACCGACAGCTGCCCTGAGTGTCTGTAGCTGCTGTTTGAGCTCATTAAAGGCAGAATGAAACCATCAGCCGGGTCCGTCTCATTGGGCCTCAGGTCCGGGGGTCTCTGGGGGTCTCAGGGGAACACTGGGGGTCTCTGGGGGTCTCAGGGGGCCACAACCTTCAGAACACCCGGTGGAAGAACACAGAGCAGGACTCACTGAGGACAGTTTATTGGGATCCAACAACACATCCGACCGGACCTCGGACTTCCGGACCGTCCGCTGAACCTCCTAACACATCTCACTTAGTCCGGCAGAGGTCCACAGTCTGACGGTCTCAATCCCGGTTCTGCGGCTCCCGTCCGTCCAGCGGGCCCAGCAGCACGGCCTGGGCCTCCAGCAGGGTGGTGTAGGTGTCGGCTCCCAGGAAGCGGGCGGTGAGCTCCAGGTTGCGCAGCCGCAGACGGACCATGGTGCCCCGCTGCAGCTTCTCTCCTCCGCTCGCCGGCCGCCGACACACGCAGTGGAACTTCCCGCCGAAGTCCACGTACAGGTCGTCCCGCACCACGCGGAAGATCCTCCCGACCAGCACCTTGTCCTTGGCCGGGCCCATCTGGACCAGCGGGGAGCGGCGGAGCAGCGAGGCGAAGCTGTCGTCCTGGCCGGAGGACGAGGCCTCGGGACCGGCCGCGGAGCTCTCCGCCTCCCGCCGGAGCTCCGACTGCTGGTCGAAGGCGGCCGCGAAGCCGGATTTGGGCGAGTCCGCGGTGGAGCTGGACGAGGAGAACCGGGCTCCGAACCGGGCTCCGAGCCGGAGAGCCGACACGACCCTGACCAAGGCCGCCATGTTGTGTCAAAACACCGCGAGAAGACGCGCTGTGACTTCCTGTGGAGGAGACAGCGACAGGAAGTGCAGCTCGTATTAATTATTAAATATATTTATAAAGAATAGAAGCAACGTCTTTTTAGACCACAGACATACATGCTGATACACATATAAATGCAAATAAATAATAAATAAACAAACTACCGGAAGCGACGTCGTCCTGGTGAAGAGCTGCGCATGCGCACCGCCAGCCGTCCCTGCAGGAGAACATGGAGGTGTCCGTGAGCGCTCCGAGCTTCAGGTGTTCGAGCTTCGTGTTCCCAGACGGTTCGGTGGTCGGAGACGTTCTGACCCGGTTTGTCCAGCAGCAGGTGAGTGTTCAGACCGGACCGAGGCGGGACGCGCGGATCACCCGGATGTTCAGACGCTTAGTCGTGTTGCTGCTGTTAGCTGATGTGCTAACATTAGCTACCAAACAAACAGCTTGTTCCAGATCAACTGGCGATATTCAGTCAGCGAGGCAGCTGTTCCAGCGGCAATATAGATTGTAGGTGACTGTGGAGACGCCTGTTCAAAAAACACAAACGTCTATAAAGTCTTGCAAAATGTTCTTGCTGTCAGCTTTAACACTGGCTCCACTTATCGCTCTGTTGTGAGTCAAGGCCGTTCAGCCTACAAGTAAAACACACGGTTTGAAGAGAGCTTCACCCGGTGGAGTGGAAACATCTCTGAGCTGTGGTGGAGTCACAGTCTGACCAGATGAACTTGTGATAGGATGTGGTGTCAGTCCGACGGTGAGACAGAAACACCTTCTAGTTTAACTGGCGACCCAAGTTAACTAACGGTGTTTGCTGTATTTACCCTCCAGATGACCCGTTTGCAGATTTATCCGACCAGACCTGTGTGTGTGTGTGACGATAAAGATACTACATGAAGAAGACCTCGTCGACAAACGTGAACATCACTAGTTAATGAAGCCTATATCCATGTCAGCATCATCTACAGACAGCAAAACCAAAATAAAAAACACGTATGTTTGAAGTCCGGTGGGAGGATTCAGAACCACGTGGTCCAGATGAAAGAAAATGCAAGTTCGGTGATTTACTAATTGTGCCACCAATCAGCTCGATTGAGAATCATTCTCATTCCTATAGATCATTTCTATTCTGTCAGGTGTTTAACACCTGGTGGTTACTCAGGAGACACGCCCAGATCAGCTGGTGATAGTCACAACTTAACACAGACACACACAGTGCTTCTTTAATAACGACAAACAAAACATATTATAGTCTTACCAGCAAAACACACGACATAGAAGCACGTTGTGTTGTGTTGTGTTGTGTTGTGTTGTGTTGTGTTGTGTGTTTGTCTGTACATTCAGTGTCATCAATCATCAGAACAATCTGAGGCCACGTTGTCAGAACTCCTCACTGAGGAAACACTACAGACACGTCCAGTCCTCCACGTCCTGGACTGTAATGTCACACAATCTGAACCACTGACTGTATGTTTTTCTGTCACTTCTTAGAAAACACAATGAATAACCCTTCACACTTCACAAACTTTATTCTCATTCCTACTCAACCAAACACTGCATATCATCAGCACACAGTCTGGACATGTGGAGGTCACATCGTGGCTGGACAGTGAACTGTATGTTTGAGAGTATTTTTATGTAATGACATGCTGCTGGTCCTCTTTGGTCTACACAGACACTGAAGTGATCCTGCTGCTGTCGTATGTCTGACAGGAATATTTAACGTTCAGGTTTACCGGTAGTTTAACAGCACCAGTAGGCGCCTGTAGCTCGTCATGTAAAGCGTATAAAACACTAATATTCTGGCTTTTTGATGGAGGTTCCGGTCCATTGCCTGCGTTTGTTCGCGATTAACATCGTTTGAAATTACAGGTCACGAAGTGGAGGACCGAACGTGTTTGTAGTGTTTTCTTCGTGAGTAGTTCTGACAACGTGGCCTCAGTTTGTTCTGATGATTCTATCAAACCAGACTGATGCTGTGCTGAGTGTGTTTCGGTGAACAAACCTGAGTTCAGCGTGAAGTTCTGCTCTGTATCTCTGGATGTTAAGTTGTGACTGTCGCCAGTTGATCTGGGCGTGTTTCCTGAGTAATCACCAGGTGTTCAACATCTGGCTGAATGGAAACGATCTCTATGGATGAAATGGGTCAGAACTGAACAGGTAGTGTCATCGAGCTGATTGGTGGCACAGTGCGTAAAACACCGGCACCGTGTTTTTGCATCTGAACGACGTGGTTCTGAATCCTCCCACCGGACTTCAAAAATACATGTTTGTTTATGTTGGTCAGTATGTTTGGTTTTGCTGTCTGTAGATAATATTGGCATGGATGTAGACTTTATTAATGTTTACTTTTGTCGCCGAGGTCTTCTTTATGTCTTTATATCCTTATCTTCACACACACAGGTCTGATTGTGACGACTTTGCAAACGGATCATCTGGAGGGTAAATACATCGTCAGTTAACCTGGAACACTTTTCTGTCCTGTGAAACATTTCATTTTTGTGAATTTAAATAAGCCAGTGTAGCGCAATGTGATCTAAATCTGCCTACATCATACCAATGTATTGATGTTATACTGAACACTTGGCGGTCTGTTACCACACGGTTTGTAACCTTCATGTCAGAATAACGTACACACTGGGTTGGTCTCCTGTCTCTGTTGCTTTCCTACTAACATGTTTTAATAGTGATCAATGAGCGATCACAGCTCACATAGTTTCCTTCATGGAGCCCGACAGCGGCCTGACTTTTAGAATGAGAAGGCTCTTGTTTCCAGGTATATTTGTCAAGACCGAAAATAAAAATACAGCAGATATCTCATTTTAAGTGACTAACTTGTCAGATTGATTATTTCCTGGTTAGTGGGTGAGGGGTCCTGAAAAGCCACGCCTCCGAAACATCTGTCTCAGAAACACTAGGAACACCAGTTGATCTGAAACAAGCTGAACTGGTTCCGATCGTCCTCTGACAACCGGTTTACTGGATCAGAACACATCCTACACAGATGTTGAGCTTCAGCTCAGATCAATCAGCAGCTTCAGTTAATGTCTGGTGTTTGTTATAGCATAAAGTCCTGCAGCTCTGTGGATCCAGAACCACATGAACCCAGAGACGTCTGCTGTCAGTGGGACTCAGTCAGAAACCAGAGAGAAGACGTTTCTCTGGTTATTTTTTGTAAACAACTGTAGAAACCAGAAGTCAACATGTGGTCAGGTGTCCACTGACGTCACCACCTCTGGGTTTTGATGAAACGTCAGAGTTCTGAGCTCATGTGAGGATTTTTCCTGATAGAACAAATGTGACTCATGAACTGTCAGGAAGGTTCTGCCTGGTGTTCAGAGCAGCTGTGGGTTTGAGCAGGTGTGCTGTGCAGCTGTTTTCTCTGCAGCTTGGCGTCGCGTTGACCATCACTGACTCTGCTGCAGGCTTCCTTTCAGGATTTCTATGTGGTCAGAAACGGCCGACGGTCAGACCTGCAGGATCCTCTGCAGCATGGTGCCGTCTATCACCTGGAGCCCCGCCTCTGTGGAGGGAAAGGAGGTGAGTCCCAGTAACCAGCCGGTTCCGGTGCAGTCGGTGTGTAGAGCGGGGCGGCGGCAGCACCTGCTCCTGTTGAGTTCTGGCTTCGCTGTAGCACCGTCTGAGCCGCCATCAGGGACTGAAGGGGAAATGTGTTTCAGGGTTCGGCTCCATGCTGCGAGCTCTGGGCGCTCAGATCGAGAAGACGACGAACCGCGAGGCCTGCAGAGATCTGAGCGGTCGGCGGCTGCGAGACGTCAACCACGAGAAAGAGTGAGTCTGAGAATGACCTGATTACCGCAGACAGCCGGACCTCCGACGGCTGTTTGCTGATGTTCCACCGATCAGGACTTTCCACAGAGTTGCTGCTGCATCCAGATGTTTCACTGCATCTCTCGGCTGCAACACACTCGTTATCACTAATCAAACTCTTCTAATAATCAGTTCATCAGTCTGAGTATTTTTTAATGAAAACAGTCTGAACTCTGGTTTCAGCTCCTTCACTGAATGTGTTCTGGGTTCTTTCCTCTGTGACACTAAACTGAACATCTGTGGACTGAACAAGACATTTGAGGAACCTCTGATCCTCATTTTGACCTCTTCTGACCTTTTAGAACCAAACAGTTCATCTGGCAGCTTGTGTCCACTGTCGTAACAAAGAAATCAGTAAAACCATCAAATATCTGCATTTGTGCTTTAAAAACACCAAAACATCAGATGTAAGACCTAAATAGTTTCTGACTGACCTTTGTCTGGATCGACTGACCGACTGTTGTGTACGTGGCTGGTTCTTCTTCTGTGGTGCTGCAGGATGGCGGAGTGGCTGAAGAAGCAGGCTGAGCGGGAGGCGGACAAGGAGCAGCGGCGTCTGGAGCGTCTGCAGAGGAAACTGGCCGAGCCCAAACACCAGTTCACTGATCCAGAGTACCAGCGGCAATGTCACGACCTGTCGGAGAGACTCGAGGACTCGGTGCTCAAAGGTGAGCCTGGACCGTGGACACTTTACTGACCAGTTAAACCAGTTAAACCAGCACAGAGGTGTGTGACAGCAGGTGTTTGTGTGTCAGGCCTGCAGGTGTCCTCTAGCAGTCAGGTGAAGGCGGCCGACGTCTCGGCAGCCAAGAGACCAAACTTGGACCAGAGCGAGCAGCCAGCCAGGAAAAAGAAGAAGAAGGAGACGGCAGCAGCAGCAGCAGCTTGTTTCTGGTCAGTTCATCAGCTGCTGTTCAAAATGTTCACATAACAGTAAAAGTTAAACAAGCAAAGTGAAACACCTGAGAAAAACTGATGAGCTGAGAGTTTAACGACAGAAATTAAAGAGCCAGCAGGTATGCTGCGTCTCAGAGTCTGTTTAGCCTGCTAGGTCTCCATGGTAACTGATGCTGCGGAGCTTGGTCTCCATGGTAACTGATGCTGATGAGCTAGGTCTCCATGGTAACTGATGCTGATGAGCTAAGTCTCCATGGTAACTGATGCTGCGGAGCTTGGTCTCCATGGTAACTGATGCTGCAGAGCTAGGTCTCCATGGTAACTGATGCTGATGAGCTAAGTCTCCATGGTAACTGATGCTGCGGAGCTTGGTCTCCATGGTAACTGATGCTGCAGAGCTAGGTCTCCATGGTAACTGATGCTGATGAGCTAGGTCTCCATGGTAACTGATGCTGCAGAGCTAGGTCTCCATGGTAACCTATGTGTGTTCAGGTGATGATGGAGAGAACACTGACTTGCTGCTCAGTTCATTGACTCTGGTCGTCAGTCTGTTGGTGTTCACAGAGAACGTTCAGAAGGTGTTTCCTCGCTGCCTCCTTCTGGGACAATGTCAGACCTGAATGTTGAGCTGAAGTGTGACACTAATGTTACTGTTCCATCACCTTCTAACTGTTTCTCAGCAGATCTTATTTTGAAAACATTTCAGCTGCTCGCTGATCAAACTAACACGTGGTTTTTACGTTTTCTTTTGATGAAACCTGGTTTGTGGTCTTAAATCTGTTGTCATGGTTACAGGGCCGGTGTGGGTGACCTGGAGGAGCTGCTCAGCTCAGAGGACGAAGACGATGAGGACGAGTCGCCATCCACGTCCTCATCCAGCTGTGCAGCTGCTGCTGTTGCCATGACAACGCACAGGCAGGAGACGGAGCCTGAGCGCAGCGGCAGGTAGAGACCATCAGAGCAGGTCCAGGTTCTGTCTATGGTGGCCTCGATTCTGACAGAAATCATCTCTTTCAGCTCGTCTCCAGAGTCAGCGAGCTGCTCGTCTTCAGCTGCTCAAATGACCAGAACCTCAGAGGACCGGAGTCCACCTGGACCCAGCACGGACCGGAGTCCACCTGGACCCAGCACGGACCGGAGTCCACCTGGACCCAGCACGGACC